CTCTCTTCTCTAACCATCACGTGCTTCCTCTCTCCTTCTTAACCATCACGCTTCCCCTTCTCCTCTAACCTGATGGTTTCCTCTTCCTCTCTCGATAATTAAAGGTAATATAATTATAATTTACATTTAGGGTAATTAGTATATTAATAGTACTTAATAAACATAGTTGTGTAATTGGTTAATTTAGTAATTAATTTAGTTTTAATTAATAATAACATTCATATAATAAAAATAAAAATAGCACAACATAATTTTTCAGTGGTATTAATAGTAGTTATTTTTGTCCTCGATAGAGTTGGCGCTTTTTAGCCATGGCTATCGTGGCGGTTTCAAATTAATTAAAATGTTGATTCAATCCTTGAATAAGGAAAGTCGCTGCGCATCAGGGCGTGTACACAGAATCTGTGCCCATCCTTCGTATATATAGGTTGCCTAAAAGTGATGATTTGCACACATACGATTTATACGGTATAGGCCCATAAAAAAAGATTGTTAGTTTTATCATCCCCGCCCGCATCACTTTTTCCGCCCGCTATCGAAATTTATTTTTTATTTTTTAATTCGAATTACCGGTGTGGTTATTCACACACCGGTTTCAAGCCACATTCATTCGTTTAGGGAGGTGCTCTAGCTTCTTGTACATTTAATCATTATAAATTATTACCCTTACTTTTTATATAGTTACTATCTTTCTTTATACCTGTCCTGTCTCTTTTTATAAAAGTTACCTTGCTGGCCATTTTGCGTACCGTAATTATGCCTGCGATTTCAATTTACCAAGAACTACACTTTTCACGTTTCACTCGACGCCATTTAACATTTTTGCCGGTAGATGGCGTGCGGGTATTACGTAATTCCATGTGTCTGTTTCGTGTCTCCGGAAATAAAAAAAAAAAAAAAAAAATAACCCGCTCCCTCATCTACTTTTCTTTAGATGACAAGGATGATAAACTAAACATTTTTTTTTTATTGTTATGGGCCGTAACTCATCCAACTGCCGCAAATCGGCACACCTCTACACAGTACATCGCCCCCATGCATCGTACCAAATGTTCCTTCAAGTTAGCACCGCAATCCGAAATATAAATTACTGACTTATAAACAACGACCCGATTCTTCTCAATCTTTGTCCATTATATCAACCTGATAGCTAATGCCTATGCATTCAGACAAAATGGCAGCTACTAACCACTATTCTGTCACGGCTGGTTCACGGGAGTGGCGCTGTGGCTAGCAGGTGACTTTAGGCATCAACGCAACACTCGGCGAGATTACCTTTGACCCGTAGACAGCTACAATGGTATTGCCATGTATGTCATACCGGCATGCGGCACGCCGCCACGCCAATCCGCTATCAAGCAGCAGATCGGATTGACAATTCTCCCTTGTCGAGTCCACAGGCCTCGCCTGTGAACGCATAAGCCGTGGACAGTGTGCGTTTTATAGCTTGCCTTTTGTTTTGAATCATAGGCGATTGCTACGGTTGATGTCTGGACAAAGTTTGGAGATATGTGTCGTTATGTTTTAGTCTGTATTTCCGGATTCGAGTTCTAATTGAGAACGATTTAGGTACGATGATGGTCGAATCGTAACGTGTGTCCGATTGAGCTCAGTTTGGATGACGTTACGCGTAGTTAATCGTAGGTTTATAAGGGCTTAGTAAATGACGAATTTCCCTTTGTTTATTGGAGTCACACTCCTTCCCTTTTATCTACTCCTGTATAGGATAGATTGTTAGATTGCATAACAGTTTGATGTTAGTTGGGACTGGACCGTCATTCTCATTATCCCTGAACGCTGCCGGGATATAGCCACTCTTGGTTTAATTATAATAATATCGTCTCAAAAAATTGCTCGGGTTCCCATTTAGTCATGATGTTAGGTTTTCCTACACTGACGTACATGTAAGATACCGCACTGAAAGCCAGGCTGTTCGAATTAGTGACGAGAGGGCCAAGGCAATTTTTTGGGGGCATGTGAGAAATTGCCTGAATTTTCTCTAAAATGGATGGGCACCAAGCATTTTAAAAGGCATCAAAGCGCTACTCTCACAATTGAGAAGGGACCAAGGCACTGTGTAAATAAGGAAAACTCATAACAAATTAATACATCAACCTCTGCTAATGGACAGTTACAGTAACAGCGGTCAACGTTTAACTTTTTATTTCACTAGCCATCGGGCTGTAAATGAGGAAACCATGATTATTATCGCAATGATTTTTCTGTTACAGAAGAGGCTAGTTGTGGTTCATACTTGCTGCTACCATTATACGCTACCATATTACGGCTACCATACTATGTCCAAGTAGGGGACTGGTTTATTCAGTTCATGGGCCGTCAGCTAGGTACAATGCTAATTATTGGGGCAAGAACCTGTATTGCCATCGCATAGACTTGTGTGTGATTCTCGACTTCTGTATACTGGTACGCAGTCAAATTCTATTCATATAAAAAATGTCTTTCCTTGGTCTGATTCTAGTACTGCAAATCAAGTAGTCATTGCTCCTAGTTAGAAGAAAAAATTGCCACTCTGTGACATCATTTAATTTGGCATTTTTAGGAAAGGCGCGGGAAGACTGCTAGATGGAACGTTTTGACTTTCTGGGAGAGATTTGGGTGAATGGATCTAAGTGCAGGCAGGCGAGGCGGGGTGAAGTGAATACAAGATATTGTTAGGTTTTACGATTCAATCTATAAATATTAGTGTGCAACATGTGATAAGAGTGGGTTTTTCTATTTGCATGTCAATTTTGACATCGTAACAAATGATAATATCAATGTGAGTTTTAACGGGTCATGGCCATGCTTGTTCTGCTGAACATTTGCGTGATTTGATAAGGTACACTTGAGTTCTCTTCATCGTTTTGAAATGCATGGCGAGCAACATATGCATACATAAGGTTGTGAGTACCGTATCGGTATTTTTGAAGTGAGAAGTAAAGCTGAAAATACTATTTCCTTCTAGGTGGCCAGAAATCGTATGACAAAGGATTTCATGGCAGAGATTCTGATAAGATTCAGCAAGGAAGGATGTCCCTATGATTGCTTACATAATGGTTAAAATGTCGCTATTGTTAATGAACTTGCCATCTGTTGATTTTAATATTGATTCATTGTTTATATGTATTTCGTGTGATTTCATTGGCTTACGTATTGCGTGCCTTACCATAAATGTTTCTTTGTCGAGCAGGAAATTCATTAGATAATTTGAAAAATGTTGTTTACCAGTATTGTATTGAGAGGTTTTGAAATGAAGATCAGAGGAGCATACCAGGTTCTATTGTCGTAAGAGAAATAATGTTTATTTTGATTTTTGCTGATGTCTATCATAAACTAAGGAGTAACCAGCATCTAATCATGCTTTTGTAAATATAGAGTTAATCTTTTCAATGCCGCCATACAGTATGAAGAGCCAAATACAAACGGTCATCGATCTTTTTCTGGGTAATTGTGCGGCATTGATCCACCTGCGAGCTGCCAGGGTCCTGAGAGATCTCGGTAAGCATGGTATGACAATATTTCTTGAGGAGCTGAGCAATTAAGGTAATCATGCAGGTTGTTCTGAGACATGTCAAGCTGATCACTGATAGTGGTCCAGAGTTAGTCCGTTCTGCAGCTCTTACCTACATCACACTGACGTAGTGTGAAGCTAAAGTTGAGAATGAATTATGCATTTCAGCATGAATCACAGTGTTTATGTACTCATGTACTATCAGGAGCGTATAATGTCAAATACGCTTTGTCATTATACGCTCCTGGTACTATGTATGCGATACTGTTTAAGAACCGAACGTGGGTTAGCATTCTGTAGCAGAATATTTCACCACTCTTGTCTTGCGCGGTTGATGCATTCAGACCCTATCCCTGCTCTCTGCTAATGTTAGCATCTCTACAACCTGCCACCCTCTTGTTTGTATACTGACACCCCATACATTTTAATCGCATAAGACTATGTATTATTGTGTAGTATGCACTGGGAATTTACATGTTGTATGGGTGAAGAGGCACTGATATCTGCTGTATTATGCTTGTGTATACAGTTGAACCTCAGTATCGTTTGCTGTGTGATGTGGGTAGTACCACACATCTGCCAGGACATCAGGCAAGAGGGAAACCAGTGAATGAATCGGGTATGTATATGATGTCAGATATATGCCACGTTGTACCACACAAGCAAAGGCTGAGATTGAATTAGTCCACGGGCAGTGGGATGTGGGGTTGAAATCCGATTAGGCATTACTATGGGTGCAATTACAATGATATATATGTTGTGGTAGATGAAATATAGGCAGTTCATTAAAACTCTGTGGTGGTTGTAAAAAAATCTTATGTGGATTTGCAGATTTGCCACCTCCACCAGCACCTCCTAGTGCTAGTTATTACAACGAAGACATTGGTGTCCGTTTCAACTTTGTCCCAAATATCAGTGGATCGAGTAAAGTTGGTGTACAAGACACATGTTTTGAAATGGACACAGGTAAATTGAATAAGTGATTGCATGTATATATAAGTGACCTTATCTGGATCATTAGTGGCAGCAAGGTTGGTGATTCCGAAGAGGTACTGAAGATTAGCTATCAGTTTCGATAGCTACTTGTTAATACTTCAAGTGGCATCAGGTCCTAGCACCTCAAAATTATGCAAAAAATACCAAATTGTTGAGATACATGGTGTCATATATGCTGCAGATTTATGTTAATTAATCCCTCAACCTGCAATAATCAAATTCAGACATTACCTTGCATTTTATAACCATCAAAAGCTGCGACCTGTATTAACAATATTGTTTTGTTCGGAACCCAGCGGCTGCATACGAAAGTGCTGGCGTGGATCAATATGTAAGTAGGAAAGCCAAAAGTGTTGTGCTGGTAAACATCCGAATCCTAAATCCTGCAAGTTGATCTACTTGTTTATGTACCGGCTTGGTGCCAGGGAACAAAAGGCACACTGATTCATTAATACATGTTGTGCGTTTTTGCATGATATGATCAGCATTTACCATTACCCGCATATTGTCTGGTTGATGCCGCTGGCCAGCATGCACCATGCACCCGCATCTATTTCGACTCCCACACTAGCGCAGTGAATGCAGAACTTCGTTTGAATAGATCCTGAATGACATTACTGCAAGCTACTTTAGATATCATTTAAAACTTGCTGCTGCTGTTTTCAGTGTGATAAAATACTATATGGAACTGATTTGAAACGCATTTTACTCTAGAATATGGCATACAAGTTTATTATAACCTCAAAGATACAGTTTTTGGGAACTTGGAGCATAAAAGATAAAAGATAAATATTGTTAAGTTTACGTAATGACATATAATAACATGTATTATGATCTGTTATTGATATTGTTGTTCGTCTACTACTGTGGCCTAATTGTCAGATGACGTCCGTCTGGTGTAATTTGCAGGCAGCTATATAACCAATCAGCATTGTGGTAATGCATTCTATACATAGTGCTCACTAACGAAGTGCCAACAAGTCAATATTTTAACGTGCCGTCTGAATGTATAAGTTGGTGGTGGTGTGCAGGCATGTGTGGTTTTCCACGTGCGCAGGTTACCCATCACGACCTGGACCACGGCCCGCGCCCAGCGAAACCACTGACGTGTGGTCGCAGTCAGACAGCTGCAACATCACTCGCTCTAGCTCCTCCTCTCTCGACGACAGCTGGAACGACAGCATTGCTTTCGAGAAGAGGCGGGCAGCAGCGGGCGACTACTACCCTGGCTATGCGAGCGCGTTCGCGATGGAGAAGGAGCGCAGGTGTAACGTCCACGGCGCTGAGGGGGATGGTCCACAGCGCTTTCCCGTCGCCGCTGACACATGTGGCGACCGATCCTTGGAGCCGTCGGCAGTTCACAGCTGCGATTGTGCTCTGATGGAAGGAAGTTTGTTATCGTGCTCGGATGGCAGAACCAGCACCACCTTGGGGCAGCAAGGTATGCTACGTTCATCATTTTCATTATTTTATCAAGTCTATCTACTTTTCTATTTTCCAGTGATGTTATTAGAATTACGATGCTCCATTACTTGCCATAAATATTTACCATACTCTATATACATTATTTAGCATTGCTAGTACAAGTAAATACTAATAAGAGGAGTGTAATGTGAGTAAACTGTTACATTACGATGATAAAGAATCGTGTGGATGCAGTATAATGAGCAAAAATGGTGAGTATGTTGTATAACGAATTTTAATTGAGTGTTTTGTGATCTGTAGGCAGCGGGCGAGAGCAGCGAGTGTGTGCGGAGGCGGAGTCTGTGGCGTGCGCGATCATGCGGACGCAGCACGTTTCATATGATGAGCTGTATGAGGCGACAGCCGGCTTCGCTGCTGATCATGAGCTGGGTCATGGAGAGTTCGGCATCGTCTACAGAGCGCGCGTACGATCGTCTGCCGTCGCCGTCAAGAGATTCGTCAAGGTTCGCCCGCCGCCATCGTCTTGTTGTCGGTTAATGTCACGTGGGGTTTTTCGTAAAGATCTTTTAAGGTGTTTTGTATAAATTAAATGTCCTGCAGCTCTTTAGATGTTCACATGCAGATGTTTCTGAGGTAGAAGAGTGCTTCTTAGCTCATTTAATGGACACACTTGTATAGGAATTGTTGCTGGAAGACCCCTTCAGTTACTTTGTGACTTTCCATGATTGAAATTTGCATTTACGGTTTATGGTGACAATAAAAATAATTTCTTGCAGAGACAGGGCCTTGTGGTGGATGATGCGGCAGAATGCAAGCAGATTAACAATGTTCTGCGTCATCTATCGCGGTGAGTACTTCCCTTGAAAAACATGTCGTGATGCCAGGAGTGAATATTGCCACACATAAAACATAGTTAAATTGAAGAAGTAGTAAAATCCTCAATATAAATATGAAGTATAGTAAGGCTATATTAGTAGAGATGTTTTTATGTGTAGATATCAGCATGAGAATATCCTGCAGCTGTGCATGTACAGCATCGGAGGGCCGGAGTCGTGCCTTGTCTATCAGTACATGCCGAATGGTTCACTGTTGGATCGACTTCTCTTCATTAAGGTACGTTGCAGTCACCTACTGTGACTACCTCCTCCTGTTTGGGTGCCTGATGTATGAATTAATACTCGTCGCAGAAAAATCTGTCAGAGCTAGGAACTTGGCTACATGAAAAATTTGTCGTGAGATAATTGGTCACAAACAGTAAACCTTGGTTTACTATTGCAAAGAGTAAGGAGGGTGCAGGGCGGGGAGAGCAGAGGAAGTGCAGCATGAGGGGAGGTTTTGAAAGTGGAGGAGGTAGAGGAGAGCAGGAGAAAAGGGTGGAAAGGGTCAGCAGGAGCGAGAGAATGAAGAAGAAGGGTCGAAGGTGGAGAACGGAAGAGGTAGCGGATGAAAGTAGAAGATAGTGAAGGAAAGCGAATAGGTGGAGCAAGAGGGAGGTGGCAGAGGAAGAAGCAGGTAGAGGAGGAAGAAAGAAAATTGAGAAGGAGTTATAGGAGGGGATGGAGGAGATAGAGATGGAATGACGTAGAAGAGAATGCGCAAATGTGGAGGAAAAGGGAGGTGGTAGAAAAAGGGAGAATGTGGAGATGGCAGTGAGAAGGTGGTAGAGGGGAGGGATCGAGGAAGTACTGGGTGTGGGTGAATGACTTACGACACACGTAACGGACTGCAACTAGCAATTAGGGATGAATTGCATGTTTGCCCGACATGCCTCCTAAAATTCCCGAGGAGAACCCTGGTATTGAATGTAACACCAACACGCGCCTAATATGGTGGCTGGGTTGATTACAGGGCTACACTGCCGTGTTAACGTGGCAGCAGAGACTTGCCATTATGGAGGGAACAGCAAATGCCATTCTGTTCCTGCATTGCAGTCAGCCACCACTGATACACGGTAATGTGAAAAGGTAGGTAAGTGCGTATAGATTCAAACTGCAGAGCACTCTTATTCTACAGCCTGCTGTTTAGTGATTCTAAAGTAGCTCTAGTTATTTGTCATTGTGATAGAAACATTCTAAAAATCTTGCTCAGTAACGAAATGCCTCAAAGTCGACAAGTTTGTGTGCACATGTGAAAATCCACGTATAGACTAGTCTAGGATCACCAGCCTAAAAATAATATCAAGGTCGACATGCTTACCTGGTTCAGATAGATAGGTCAATTGGTAGGATGAGTAAGTGTACTGCACCATGGGAAAGTATTTAAGCAAATTGTCAAATAATATGCTGTTAGAGTTAAGATAAACAACGTTTTTATGCAGGGCTCCTTTAATAAAAAGCAAGAGTATCATAATTAACAGGTCGGTTATTTATAGGTTATTTTTGATAAAATTGTGAGGAACCTCATTACAGCGCGAATATTCTGCTTGATAAGCACATGGAGCCAAAATTGGGAGACTTTGGACTCGCACAGCCTGCACCCCAAGGAGATGCTACCCATGCTACAGTGAGCATGGTGATGGGGAGTGCTGGATATCTACCACGGGAGTATTTAGACCGGTATGATGCACCATATGATGGGAAACAAATCAAAAACAGCACATCCATTTTACACAACAATGAATTAAAAGCACAAGCTCAATATACAGCTAAACCTGAGTTAGCTGTCATTTATATATAAAGGACACATGGCTATAAAGGCCACCACTGCGATTTTTAGAACAGCAGTTACTCAGTGAAACCTCCTCTATAGAAGAGACAGTTGAGTGGTTCTGTTTATACTTGACATAACATAGTCATACACGTCATACAATAAAATTTGAGTTGCACACTGGATGAGAAAAGATGCCCTGAGTCACACTTGCAAGTGCCAGTGTTTTTTTTTTATAGTCGTGAGCTTTCGGCGGAGGTTGATGTATACAGTTATGGTGTGGTGATGCTAGAGGTAGCGACTGGTAGACAGGCACAAGAGCCAGCAAGCCGAAAAAGCGACTACCTGGTAAGAGAAATATGTGTCACTCATCCATCTCAGTCTGGTTGCGGTAGAAAAAAGTTGTTATTATGTATAACAGTGCTGGTAGTTCCATAAATTGTATTTAGTATTTGCATCAAGAGCGTATTAAGAAGGAGAGCGTACAACGGTGAAATGCTGAAACAATGTTGCAGTATTAGTCGAATTAAGAAACTTTGCCCGTTTTATTTTGACGATTCTTTGCGGTATTATTGATCAGCTGTCCTATCTTACTCATATAAAACAAACCGCTTGTCTCTACGATGCTCCTACGCTGAGATGAGCGGTGAAAATCTGGGAGACCCCCAGCTTCGGGAAACCTCGCGTGTTTCCATCAATGATTGACAAATGGAATGAATGACGTCTGTTATGGATTGCCATAGTGACTGACCCCCACCTGTGCCCACCTCACGCTGGATGTAGTAAACTCTGTAGTACTGATGTAATGAGTCAGCGCTACCATGGCGCTACACAGTGGCGACCGGAAGCAACATACTGGCCACAAAGCGAGAGAGAGTCGCAGCCAACCGGGATCTCGAGTCGGTTTTCGGCAAAAATATCAGATTTTTACCGCTCATTATCTCAGCGTAGGAGCATCGTAGGGACAAGCGGTTTGTTTTATGTGAGTAAGATAGGACAGCTGATCAATACTACTGCAAAGAAATCGTCAAAATAAAACGGGCAAAGTTTCTTAATTCGACTAATACTGCAACATGGTTTCAGCATTTCACCGTTGTACGCTCTCTTTCTTAATACGGTCTTGTTTGCATTTAGTAACCCAATTGTGTGCGTGACAACATTGTGTCTGTTTGTTTGTGTCTGACAACCCGTTTAATGAAAGACCTAGGTAAAACACGTTTAAAACTATGCTAACGTAGCATTTTACCGAGCTGAATAAACTAGTAGAGACTGAGTGTGAAACCAGAGTGGGTTTTTGGTGCCAAAATCTGTCACGATAATCTGGATAACAATCGTTAGTTAATTAGATAAAAAGTTTGTACAAATTGCAGGTGGACGCCGTGAAAGCACTGAAGAAAGAAGGGCATAGTTTCACCACGATTGTAGACAGTCACTTGGAGCAAAGCAGAATGTGGCTGTATCTGTCTGAAGAGTTCATTAACTTGGGTCTGTGCTGCACCCATCAAGTCAAAAAAAGACGAATTCCGATGCAGGAGGTATATGTATGCTGTATTTATTGCTGTTACCATAAACGCATGGGTTCTATATGGGTAATGCTATCCCCCGGGCGTGGAGGGAGGTGACCGCAACGTGGCAGCACTAGTGTTAGAATAGTGTTAGGATTAGGGTTAGGGTCAGGATTAGGGTTAAGGTTAGGGTTAGGGTTAGGATTAGGGTTAGGGTTAGGGTTAGGGTTAGGGTTAGGATTAGGGTTAGGGTTAGGGTTTTTGCATCATGATATCTGTCCCCACACCATAGATTAATTTTTGTGGATAACACTGCCTATATATAGCGCGGCGACACATATATATTTAGTGTGAAGGTTAATGTTGGCGGTGTTGGAGTGAGGGTTAACGTTAGGGTTAACGTTTTGAACGTCATCGTCAACGTTATCACGTGACCTCCCTCCACGCCCGGGGGATAGCAACACCCGTTCTATATGTGCATAACCACAAAGTATATACATATATATGTTCATGCTGTTATCCCAGCATCACCTATAGGTTTATTATTAATTAGGTATTAATTAGATACAAATTGTCATATGCTGACTTTCAGTTATGGCATGTTCTGTGAAGCAGGTGTTAGAGATTACCTTCTCTCAAACTCATACTGCTTTGTTTTCTTGTCGTAGGTACAAAACCAGTTGGTTAAGATGCGCCGACAGTGCAATGAGCTCTGAGCAAAGATGAATGTTACAGCTAATGCTTCCCAGCAGATTTTATTGGCACGCTGATAATGTTCTCATGGAGGATAACATGAGTGTTCTTGTCATGTATTTTTCATTTATATACAGTCAAACATGAATATGAGGATCACACGAGGGCTCAGTTTCCTTTATAGACAGGTTCCATTATATCGAGGTGGGTTTACTGTAGTAATTTCAATCCATTGAAACACAAAGTGTCTTTTACTCACAACTAACAAAATTTGTGACTGCTAACACAGGTTTGGCTTTATGTATAATATCAGGAGTTAATAATAATAGATTATTATTATTACTATTGCTGTTATTACTATTATTATTCACTCCTGATAGTATTGTACGTATCAGGACGAGTACCCCCTGGACAATTACCCCCCCCCCCAGACAATCACCTAGGAAATTATTCCCCCCACCTCCATACAATAACCACATTCCATTTGCTTCCTGGACAATAGCTTGCTTGAAATTATTTGTTATTCATTATCTAGTACTTTCATTATTTACCTTTTGATTGTTGTGTTGAACCCAAATGTGAATACACCTGCCACCAAATCCCTTGATATTTTCATTCAAAACAATTATGAATAAATATGGTTGTGGCTATAGAGGGGCGGGGGGGGAGGGGCAGCTGGCCCACCAGAGGAATTTAGATACTACGGTTACATGGTCAATGGCGAATTGCCCACGGGAGGGGGGGGATTATGATATAATATATTATGATTATATTTTTTTTCATTATCTGAGGGGGGGGGGATAAATGGCATGGGTGGTTTATCCAGGGATTATTGTCCTGATGTGTAATTATCTGCAGTGGTTGTTTGTGGGGAGGGGGTAATTGTCCAGCAGCATTGACTGGGGTGGGGAAGTGAATGCCTGGGGGGAATTTGTCCTAGACCCAGTGTATACCTTATATAATCCATTCTTGTCATGTTTTATTGTCTTCCAAGGTTCTATTGTGATAATAATAGCAAATCGCTTTTTTGAAGTTTAGCAAATACCTGTATTGGATAGTAATATAGTCTCATTTAATCACACTGAAAAGAATTTATAGCTCATCATAGGCAAATATGAAATTCGGGAGGGTGGAATTTTGGCATAATTATAGTCAATATTTGTATATGGTATTATGATTGGTGGCTGTGGTTGTCTGGTTTTAGAATGCTACCGACAAATTGTGATAGTTATGCAATATATGTTTTACATTTGTAGAGGTTTGTCAGGTGATGATGGAAATTGTCAGTATTATTAGAGTTTTGCATATTTTCGTAACCTTAAGTTTTAAGAGTGCCACGAAATTCATTTCGATTGATCGATAGGAAATTATTACTGTGATAGTAAAATCAGAAAGAATAAATTCGATATATGCCTACGCCAAACTAGCACCCTTCACTCATGATTTGATTACCATGAGGGATACTAAAATACTGAAAGCCAACTGAACAACAAGTATTAACAGTATAATGTTATATAGTATTCTTAGTGTCTTGAGAAGAAATGACAGTAGCAGACATTTACTGCACCCAATGTTCAGGGTAATGAACTGTATGGACTTAACAGTTCACACTTTACTTGGTGTGGTACAAATCAGATGAGAATGTATTGTCATACCGCATTAAAAAATAAACAGTCTATTCACATTTAAACATTTATTCTCGTTGCTCACAATTTCATCACGTCCGGATTTGTTGTGTGTATTTTTATTGCATTCAGTTTCCACTTTTGTACGAGGTGCTAGTGCAGTCTTAATCCTAGAACATTTTAGAATATAAACATCACAATTGTAGTGTTATATATGATACTAGTGTAGTATATCGTAACACATACCATTACTTTTACAATTTACTTGCAATGCATTTCCCAACAATCCTTTTACACTAAGGAATTCTTTGCATTTGAGGTAAATCCCATTTTAGATTGAGGTGAATCGATTAAGCCAATTTCTACATATTTATTCTTTATGCCAAACTACCCTAACTTTGTATAACCGTCAAGATGCGAAAAGGTGTTAACAATTGCCATATTGCTCTATATGAGTCTCTATGCAAATTTCAAAACTATAAAGCATTGGATTAGATTTGGAAATTTACATTCTAGAAATTTGACAACAGAAAAAACAGCAAGTTAGTAAACGTTCGAACTTTCATTTGTTTCATTTGTATTTTAAAATAATCTAAGACAAAATAATTGTGTTCAAAAACAATTATACGGTTTACACCCCTAATTCCAGATGCTAACTATATGCTAACAGCTGAGTAAACTGGTGTTAAATATTATCATACAATCAGCAGAGGTCCCAAGTTGGGAAAGTCCAGGAAAGGGAGCCAGCATTGGCCCAGCAATCCAAGAAAGGGAGCCAGGTCCATCGCCGTTTTTTCTCAGTGCGCAAAAACATGAAAAAAGTTGTGGCGGGCTGCGATATGTGTTTGTCGCAGCACACCACCATTTTTTATAAAGTATACACGTAAAATCATCGTTTTATCGCCTTTTATTGTTCGCTGGAAATTGGAATCAAAGTACATCAACAACAACGGCAAATTTAGTAATTTACTGATTTACTGATGTAAATTTTCATATGGCTGAAAAATTTTACAAACCGGGAGCTTCTGACCTCATTCCGGGGCACCGGGAGCAGCGTGTCATACCGGGAGTCTCCCGGTGAGACGGGGAGACTTAGGACGTCTGCAATCAGCAAATAAATTTGGTCTCATAAGAAGCTTTTTCATGACAAGTAAATAAATACAGAAAATGAAAGGTTGATGGATTATCTAACCTATTTTGCTCAGCTTTAGAGCCTTGAATCTGACAAACATTTGGAGTGTGAACTGAACACCAACTCTCAACTAAACAACTTGATTTAGCACAAATAAGATTAAAATTGGCTCGGGATGAATGTGAGTGTGAGAGGCTATCATTGTGCTCTGACACACCTGTGAGCGTGTCTTTGTTGGAGTAACTAACCAAATAGTTGTTAGTACTTGTTACAATCTACAAGAATAAACATGGGAATTACACCGTGTACATTTTGACACACAAACAGTAACAACTACATATAACGAAAGCAACACGAATACCATTTGGTACTTGCATACACTTACTAAGAGCAGCTAGATAGCAATGAATACACTAGATTTCATTACCGTTTTCATATAAATTTGGCGACACTATTGCTTGCTTGTTAAAATTCAATAAAAGCACTGCAGTTGAAACAGTCCATTGGTTTTTACGCAATACGTATTGGTTGCGCATACATGTTGTATATTAATTGGTGCATGAGCACTGTGCGCATGTGCGGATTTCTCCACCTCTCGGTGTTTGCATTGCAGAGCTTGGGTGCCAATTTGAAGTCTCTCAAAATAAAGACAATTATTAACGTGTAAGACTTATTATTACAACATCTACAAAAGTACAAAATCCGTGGAAAAATTATCACTGATCAAATATTTAGGAAAGCTTTGGTCTGTTGCATCTCGTTCTCTTAGTCAATTTTTCGAAATTGGACACTGATGAGATTGCAGCACATTTCTAGTCTCAAACGTCTGTCCACAAACACCACAGATCCAATTTTTGTTCAAGCGTGAGGTTGACTCAGCATGCTGCATCTGCTTTTCTATCCCTGCAATGGCAGCTAAGTGCATCTTAGACTTTTTGTGTTCCATAAACCCTGACATGCTCTTAAGAATTGTCCTGCACAAGTTGCACATAATCCTTTTTGATTTTGGTAATTTCTTCTTCTCATATTTAGTCAACACATTTTGAGGGATTGTACACCCATGAACTTCAAACCGATGACGAAACAACGTTTCTATGCCATCATAAACGTTGTCAGAAATACACAAGGAGCAGCCATATGTTCCCGGCTTCCTTTCATTTTCTGGGTGTCCCCTGGAGCAGTTCTTCAACTGCCCGTTGCCATCAGGGCCATTGCAGGTGGATGTGTCCACATCCAAGGCAGGATGTATGTCCTGTCTAACAAACACTGCTTGCTCTACTATTTCTTCTGCTGTTTTTCTAGCAGCTTCTTTTTGTTCTTCTCTTGCTGCTTTTCTTGCTGCTGCCTTCTTTGCAAGTAACATTGAGCTATTAGCTCGGTTCGAGTGAGATATTCCTTTATGGCGTGTGAATACGACCTTTCTCTTTCGCCTCCTTTTCAATGACAATGGCTGTGGACGTGGAATCACTATATTCACCATGGCCGCATCCAAGCTCGGATTCATATCACTAGCTTCAACGTGCTCAGTCTCCTCCTCCTCGTGCGGCGGCAGCGACGGTGGGGCTTGAAACGATGTCCCCTCTCCGGACAGCATCTGTAGCCAGTTCATCACATGCTCGTCATTGCTGCGACCTTCAACGATACCTAGAGATTCGCCATGATCAACTGCCGTTCCACCTGCCATGTCAGAATCATACTGCAGCTCTATATACTCATCCACAGCATCGGACACTGGCTCCAACTTCGGTTGCACGAGCACCGAATAGTCGACTGAACGCTCGCAAGGATGCTGGTTCTGTTCATCAAGGGCAGAGTTGTGGCCTTCACAGATGAGCAGCTTGCAGTGGGCGGTCTGCGCATGAACACTAAAGTCGTTCACTGTGAAGAAACACTCCCAGCATGCCGTGCATCGGTAGTAGACGGATGAACCACCGATAGGATCCAGTGCCATCATCATAGCCATAGGAGGGTAGACTGACGAAAGTTAGTACTGGATGCCTGCCTCGAGTTCCACTTTGTGTCTAATCGACTGCCACTGCCTGTATGCATGAATGAAAACGGCATGATATAAATTATAAAAACGTCGTCTTTTCGCAGTTAGTTTTGGTTTTTCTTAGTTAATTGTCATTACTTCTAGAAAATTATGACACTCGCACTTTAAAGGCATAATAGGCCCATTGATTATACAAAGTTGACGAATGCTACAGTAACTGGCACCTTCTGTAGT